CAATAAATGCTGGCCCAGCCTGTGACACCTAAGTCCTATGAATACATTTTTTAAACAAAACTAATCTGAATGCAATTCACGTATTTCAGCTCTGGGCAAAAATACTAAATCCTAGCCTGAGAAAAATTGAAGCTTTCAAGTATAAACTTGAAGCTATTAACATTGCAAAAGGTAGTTTATTTGATAAATTTTATTATGCTATTGCGGAATGTGCAACTGTACTGTTAGCTCTGTATAAACCCTTAGTTTGAACATTTGAAATTCCAGTTACGAGAGAAAATGGAAATGAATAAGAGGATTTTAGAAAATATATAGAGATATTTGTCAGAATCCAATGGCCAAATTGTGCAATATTAAGGTGATATATTCTTACGATAAAATAACAGCTGTTGGGGGTGTAACATGAAACATTGAAAGGTCATGCTGCTGTGCAACCAACAAAAGTAACAGGTTTTGTAGTTACTTGTCATAAATCTTCAATGAATTGTATGCCCTTTGATCAAACTTGTAATAGCTATGACTTTGTCACTTTGCTCTGGTATCTCTATAATCCCATCATTTTATACTGCCAAGAGTGCACACCCTCATAATATATAGCTAATAGTTCAAAACATTAATGAGCATTAACATAATTTTGTTATAAACAATTCTGGCAAATGTTTTTTGCTTATGCTTTTTATCTCTGTTCTATTTTCTATTTGTCTGAAAAGTTAATGAAGAATTTATGCAAACTGCATGATCTTGACTTCATGCTTGAGGGAGAATTCAAAATTTCTTTTGTTTTCTAAATTTTCTGGAAGTAATAAATTGAGTTTTCAACTTTTTTTTAACTAAATGTGTAAATTAAACAGCTATAAAGCTGTAATTGTCCTACAAAGTGATTGATAATACTTACACTTGAACAATGAGATGTTAGGAACTCATAGAGTCAGCATCAAGTATTGTTACTATGAAATTCCAGGGAAATGTATCAACAACATAAGTACTGGCAGTGTAAAATGCCACTTATAAAAAGCAATTTATCATAATGTACTACCAGGATGATGAATTTCCAGTGTAAACTGCTCCTAATGTAAATTATTGGCAGTATAAAACATGATCAGAGTGCATTGCGTGTAGATGATGTGTCCATGTTTCACAGGCACTGTCATACACTGTAAATGAGCTTTCAGGGGTTGTTGCAGAGGAGGAAGGTTTATGTTTGAGCTGGTGACCTCTGTAGTGCACTGCTGCTGGAAAAGCCTGAAAGTTGTCAGTAACCTGCCTTTTACTTCCCCTAGGTTCGTGTGAAGTGCTCGATTTGGTGCTAAAGTTGAGAATGTCACAGTTGTGCCTTTTGGCACGGAAGGAGGTTATTCAGCCCATTGTGTCTGTGCCAGCTCTTTCTGCAAGAGCAAAGAGCATTTTTTCTCTTTCAGTGCTTATTACATTACCTTTTGAAAGCCACAATTGACTGCCTTGAACATGCTATCTTAACCATTCCTTGTGTGAAGCATTTTCCATTGTTGCTTTGAGTTCTTATTCACTTTAAATCAGTGTCTTGTGTCTTGAAACTTCTTTCAATGTAAACAATGCCTCCCAACCTAACCAGTCCAGTCCCTAGATGAGTTTGAACACATCTGTCAAATCTCCTCTTGACTTTCTCTTTTCCAAGAAGAAGAGTTGCAACTTCTCCGATCTATCTACTTAACTGAAGTTGTTCATCCCTGAATCACCCTGCAAATCTTTTCTGCAGCCTCTTTAAAGCCTTCACATCTTCCTCAAGTGCAGTGCCCAGATTGGGTCTGCAGGAGTATTGTACCCAATGTTCACCAATACTTCCTTGCTTTTATATCTATGGTGCTAGTTAGAAAGTTCAGAATCACATGTGCTTTTTAAATTAGTACAGAGATAGTAGGAAGTGCCGATGCTGGAGAGAAGGGTCTAGTCCCGAAACGGCAGCTTCCTGCTCCTCCGATGCTGCTTGGCCTGCTGTGTTCATCCAGCTCTACACCTTGTTATCTCTGCTTTTCAAATTAGTTTTGCAATCTACCCTATTGTTATGGACAAGACCAAACCCCCTCAAAACATGTTAAGGAGACCCTAACTTTTAACTTATTTGAAGGCAAATATAAAGTGCTGCATTCTGGATGCAATTCAATTGGTCAAACTGCTAGGCTTTATGCAAAGCACACTTTATTCTTACACCATAGTTAAAACACAAACAAAAAAATTAAAAAGAATTGGCACAACTTAAACTCTACCAAAACAAACTTAACAAAATAATATATCATTTAACTACTATCCATTAACTGTTCCAATATAACAGCATCCCATAAACACATCCTTGGGAAAGGCAAATTCAGAAAACTAGATTCAGAATAAAGAAAAAGCAGAAAGCGTGAATCTAGCAGCAGAGAGAGAACTCAAGCTTTTTGCAGCAGCAGGAAGAGCTGTATCTAGCAGCTTCAATTCCAAAAACCCCAACTTTAAAAAGCAAAACTAAAACCCTGGGTTTCCATGAGCTTGCCTCCACCCGCTCATGCTTCTACCAAAGCTATTTACTTTGCTTTCCATGGAGCAGACACCTCGGTACCAGGTTTACAATACCTCTCTGCAAGAGAAGCAAGACAGAACAAACCCCTCTTAAAGGCACATTTCGACACATGATACATAAATCCTCAGGTTTCTTTGCTGCTACACTCCTGCTAGAATTGCATTCCTTATTTTATATTGTTCTTCCCACTAAAATGTATCATTTCACACATCTCGGCATTAAATTTCATCTGACGCTTGCATTTCCATCATTGGAGTCTATCACTTTCCTCCTCACAGGTCACAATATTTCCCAATTTACAAAATTATCTGAAATTCTGAAATTATATCTTGCACACCCGAGTTTAGGTCATTAACATCATCAAGAAAAGTAATCATCTTAGTACTGACTCTTGGGAAACCACATCACATTCCTTCAGTCTGAAAAATGATTGTTCAATACTTCTCTCTAATTTCTGTCACTGAACCAAATTTCCCACTTTCCTTTTTGTTCCTGTTAGAATAAATTGAGGAGGGATAGTGGGAGAATGGCTCTCTTCTATTTCCCACTCCTTATGTGACCAAGACAGTCTTTTTTTTTGAAAGGAATATATGCTTGCCATTTCATGAAGTGCTTAACTGTTTACATACTGTGATGGAAAAAAAAACAGACAGGTTTCCCAAAAAGAAAAAAAGAGACTTGTGTTTATTATATTTAACCCAGTTTAAATAAAGTAATAAAGAACTTCTGACCTTCAAGAACACATGCACTCTCAGTGTCACATGCAAACAGAAATAAGTTATGGTATAGAAATACAGTTTTAGCCGTATTTTTGAAGTTCCATAGAATTTATTAATACAGGGATCTTGTAAATTGAAGACTTGGATGGTTTCAGGCTGAACTTAATTGTCCCTCTGGATTTGACACCAAGACAATTCAAATACGTCCACAAATTATTCATATCCATTCTTACAGATTCAGCAGCTTTTAGGTTACTTCTTAGCTCACTCCCTGAATTGGGTGGATTTTCAATCAACAGACAGGATTAGACTTGCAGGTTTGATGGGGAGAAAGATGGAGTGTTTACCACTTAGGGGTCTTGCCCTTCAGCATCTCTTCTGCTCCTCTGCTGCCTGGTAAAAGGTACTTTCATAAATCAAAAGAGAGTTAGTTTTCTTGCCATATGATCCTCTATTTCCAGCTGACCAGTTATTCAAACATGACCATAGCTAATGAATTCCAAGCCCATGATTTACATAAGATTATGGCTGGATGAATTGCTTTCTCAGAATTCATTGTTTAATGTGATTATATCAAATGTTTATCCCCTCCCAGTGGAGTACACAGGTAATTGGGTGTTTTGTGAATCGGTTGAGAGATAGCTTATTCATCTTCACGGTGATTGATTCTGGCAAAGATTTCTAGACAGGCTGATTGTATATCAATGTCTTTGGAGTGTGTAAGGTTTGGTCATGCAACTACTATTTCTAGTCATTGTTGTGCTGTTTTACTCTTAAAACTTTTCGGGCAATAAGTACATAAAGTCATCTTTGTGTTGTTAAAACGGTACATTTAGTTGAAACCTTTTATTCTCCTCTCATCTGAACATTTCATAAGAAAACTGATTCAAGGGGAGAAACTAACACGCATACTACTTGAGAAAAAAGTGTTGATTGGTACAGGTGATGCCAAAGCGAATGTGCTGAACTCAACAAAATAGGTAATAGCCATGTTCTGGTTGAATTCTCAGGCCAATGCCATTAGCAGGGTCAATCTGCCTGGTTTAAAATTTAAACAAAGCCTGAAAGTTAACTGTCAATCAGTGTGAATTGATACATTCTCTAGAGTTCATTTTCTGATCAATTAGAACTCTCTTCTCAAGCAGTATACATTTTGGTATTCCCCTTGACTTAGTCTTCCTGATGTGTGGGAAGCTTTGATAAAATGTGTCTGCCTTTGGCAATATTCAAGTTCTGTACTAGCAAATAATGAAAGTTATTTTTGATGCAAAGCCTAGTTTTATTTTGAAGCATCTTTGCTGACAAGCCTGGTGTGTGGAACTTCAATATAAAAGTACACGTATAACCAACTAAGCTGAACTGGACCAAAGCCTAGGACACAGAATGAGCTTCCGTTTTTGCAATTATTGGCCATTATCAAACTTGAAAGGATCTGATTCCATATATAAAGAATGCTTAGCAGATTGATTCTTAGCCCGGAATAACATTGTAGATTGAAATGTTATATTAAACACAATTCAGAGTCCCACAGTTATTTGTTAATAACTAAACTGTTCTATTATAATTTTTCCCTCTAGAATTAGAAAACATTTGTTTTCAGTGTAGAAATTCAAACTTGTACTAAACTGTAGTCCTAATAAAGCCTTCTTCAGGCGTAATGTTATGCTGCAACTTTTCTATTTTACTAGCAGGGAGAAATAAACCATCCTTCCATAATTGGCAACTTATGATGAATTGTTTTACAGGATTTTAAGATATGAATGCTGCCCTGGATACTCGAGGATGCAGGGTGAGAAAGGCTGCCCTGTTGGTAAGATTTAACCTTTAATTAATAGATCATTATTATATCACAGAATAAATTGACTTAATGATTGCTTTAAAATAACCAGAGTTGGATCGGGAAAATACAGAGAAGGTAGTTATCTTGGACTCAAAAGATTAACTCTGTTTCTCTGTCCACAGATATTACCTGACTTACTGAGTTTCTCCCAACACTTTCTATTTTTACTTAAGAGTAAGTCAGAAATACTTTTGAAAAGGCTGAACCCAAAACCTAGAACTCATTTGATGGAATTTAAGGCCTGCTCCAATGAGCCTATTTCATCAGTTTGAGAACTAGTGGCATATCTGCCATAATGTCATTATAAGATCCCCCCCCACCATTGACTCTGACCCAACCTTCTGGGGTTAACTTCACATTTTGCCCATTATGTTTGCTTTATATTAACTGGTTGGATATAACATAGGTTACTTTCAATCCCACAGTTTTCAATACATGGTTGGGGAATCCAGAACAGCAACCATCATCTTTAAATCTGAACTTGGCCCTTTAGGAAGGAAATCAGGAAATACATCTTCATCCAGAGGCAAGTGGAAATCAGAAATTCTCTCCTCCAAAAATCTAAATCAAGTGAAATTTTTAAAACTAAAATCAATTGATTTTACTTAGGTAAGGAGAAAAGGTGAAGGAAAGTAGTCGGGGAACAGATCAACAGTAATGTAAACACATGAAACAAGTTTCAGGGCTACAATAGAAACAAAATACTGTGAATGCTGGAGATGTAAAACAAGCACTGGAGAAAATCAGCACATCTGGCAGCATCTGTGAGTGGAGAAATAAAGTTAACTTTTTGAGTCCAGTGATTCTTCTTCAGAACTGTAAGAAGCTGAAGACCACAGTGGGTCAGGCAGCATCCATAGAGAGAAAGCAAGCTAGCATTCAGATCTCTGATGAAGAGGCATCTAGTCTCAAAATGTTAGCTTGTTTTCTCTTCATGGATGCTACCTGACCCATTATGATCTCCAGCATGTTTTGTTTTCAGTTCAGATTCCAGCATCTGCCGTAATTTACTCCTATAAGAAGCTGAATGCTGTTCTGACTGTTGTTCACTGTTGTATCTATGTGCTTAAGACCTGTTGTGAGTAAAACTACTATTGCAATTGTTAAATTCAACTTTAAAATTAATGTGAAGTTATGTTGGATGACTAAAAATTAAATTTACATAGAAGAGATTGATTGTGTGAATTTTCTTACGCTTCCCATCAAGTGATTCAACCCTAGTCTCCCTACACAAATTTGCAATCAAAACTGACGCAGTCATCTCTGGATCTGAAAGAGTCTGAAAAAGTTAATATTTGTTTGAATACAGTATGCATCATCCACTGGGATGCCGTGTGGAATTGGTCAGAGTTAAGAAGGAGCTGATAGGACACAGACCTGTGACTAATGTGTTCCTAAAATTCTTAGTAGTAATGTAGGTCGTATTCATGTAATCTATAAATGACTGCAATAATTCAATAAACTTCCATGTGCATAGATCACTGAAAGTTGCCACCCAGGTTGATAGCGTTGTTAAGAAGGCGTACAGTATGTTAGGTTTTATCGGTAGAGGGATTGAGTTTTGGAGCCATGAGGTCATGTTGCAGCTGTACAAAACTCTGGTGCGGCCGCACTTGGAGTATTGCGTACAGTTCTGGTCACCACATTATAGGAAGGATGTGGAAGCATTGGAAAGGGTGCAGAGGAGATTTACCAGGATGTTGCCTGGTATGGAGGGAAGGTCTTATGAGGAAAGGCTGAGGGACTTGAGGCTGTTTTCGTTAGAGAGAAGAAGGTTAAGAGGTGACTTGATAGAGACATACAAGATGATCAGAGGATTAGATAGGGTGGACAGTGGGAGCCTTTTTCCTCAGATGGTGATGGCTAGCACGAGGGGACATAGCTTTAAATTGAGGGGTGATAGATATAGGACAGATGTCAGAGGTAGGTTCTTTACTCAGAGAGTAGTAAGGGCGTGGAATGCCCTGCCTGCAAAAATAGTAGACTCGCCCACTTTAAGGGCATTTAAATGGTCATTGGATAAACATATGGATGATAATGGAATAGTTTAGGTTAGATGGGCTTCAGATTGGTTTCACAGGTCGGCGCAACATCGAGGGCCGAAGGGCCTGTACTGCGCTGTAATGTTCTATGTTCTATGTTCTATGTTCTATGTTCTATGTTCTATGATTGGTTACTCAACAACACTTCAAGGTAAACCAGAAAGATGGATTTCCCAATCCATACCAGATCATGTTTGGTTTGAAGGAACCCACACACAATAGCAAATTCTACATAGTTTTAAAACATTCCTACTTTCAATCCAATTGACATCAATAGTTAATTTTATTCATGAATGCAATCCTTCCATAGATCTAAAATTGCAAACATGTTCTCATCTAAACGTTCAAGCCAAATTGAGACTTTATTAGGTTCCAACAGGTCTTGATCCCAATACTAACATGCATATCTTCATGAGGAAAGCCCAAGGCAAGAATTGCTGGACTAGATTTTCTTTAAATTAATGTCTGCCTTAGGAAGCTGCATATGAACTGACCTCCTCTCTCAAAGAAAAACATTTGTTCCTCTTAATGCTGTGTGGGGAGTATCATTCACTGTCTGTACGTAGAATCAGCAAGAAATCTAATCTGGGCAATTCATCCCCAGCAGTTTCTGGCCAAAGTTCTTATTGTTACTATACTACCTGTAGGAGCTTGAGCACAAATTCCCAAGAGTGCACGTTGCAAGAAGATCCCACAATGTATCAAATACTCTGGAGGTTGTTATAGACCAGGAGACTTCTACAGGTTCTTAGCCCCAAAAGCAATTTTTAGGAATACTGATCACTTATTGTGTCATTGACTTTTCTGCAATAAATCCTTGAGTAGTATACCTGCACAGAATTTTAAAAAATGTTTGGGACAGTTCCATCTTTATTGATAGTAAATTTACTTACAACATTCAGGTCTTTTACGTCCCAGTTTAAAAAATCATCCACATTTTCATTCCTGAGAGTCAGATTCAAGGGAGCTTTGTAATTGAATTGACGCAGTTAGTAAACCTTCTTCTAATCATATAACTGTGTACTTTTATTGGAAAATGGTCTTCACCTCAAAGAAGGAAGTCCAGCCATGTTGCAGCTTCTACAACAGAATCTGCAACTTTTGAATGTGCCAGGGAGCAATGTTCAACTATACATTACTATCCAGCTATTATGAAATTTAGTCCACTTCTGTACAAACTCAACTTCACCTTTCATGGTGAACTACAGTCCTTTAAAATCTGCTACTCCATATTTATATTTCTTGCCTCACCATGTGACCGACCAAGGTCTCTAGGTAGCTTTCTCTCTACCTTTAGATATTCAAAATTAGGGTGGATGTTAGAACAACAATAATGATTTGCAGATGTCCCCAAATGACAGTTTTACACAACCACAATTTATTCAGGTTTTGAAAGTCCAAGCTTATAGCCGTAAACAAGAACAAAAACAAAATTGCTGGAGAGGCTCAGCAGGTCTGGCAGCATCTGTGAAGGAGAAAACAGAGTTAACGTTTCGGCTCCGGTGACCCTTCCTCAGAACTGCTGAGCCTCTGCATCTGCGGTTCTTTCGGTTCTTATGGCTGTAAAGTTTGGTTTCAAAAGACCAAAGCTGCGGGCCTCAAAGTGACAGGTGCAATGTTTCTGGCCACTTCCAACATGGTATACGTGATACCTCATTGTGGGCAAGGCGCTATAGAATGGTGTCATATATGTATTAAAAGATTAGTGGGCAGCTCATGACATGAATTCGCTTTTCAAGATGATTTGACAGGCATCCTGTAAACCTGGACCATGCAGGTGTAGTGTACTTCCTATATAAATGCCTCCCAGCTGAAGGTGCTGTTTAAGGAACTGGCCATCCACTTTGCAGATAAGGTATTTATTTGCTGTATGTGGAAGAGAGTGTTACCCTATCCTCACCGGTGCTTTATTCTCAGTACAAGCAAAGCTGCAAATGCCTCTGAGCATAAGAAGTTAATAGAAGCAGGTGTGGGGCATGGGCCCTTGGGCCTTCTTTGCCATTCCAGACAATCATGGTTTATTTTCTACCTCAATTCCACTTTCTTGGTGACCCGTCCTCCCCCCATATTGTTTGATACCCTGAGAGACCAAGAGTGTATTCATTTCAGCCCTGAAAATGCTCAATGCATTTTGCATCATAGCAATACCTTCTGAACACTACAATCCTTCAGATGAGGAGACAGGAAGCAAAAGCTATGCATGCACTGATTGTGAATCACAGTACCTATGCCTGACATTGGGAGCAAACCAATTTTAGTTCTACATCTGTTAACTATGTAAGAAAGTACCAAATTTGTATTTTGCCATGAAATACATTTGTGATTTTAACTAAATAATAGCAAACTCAATTACATTGTATTTTATAATTCTCTTGCCAAACTTTCATATCACTACAAAGGCTAACACTTTATGGAATTATGCGTAATGAAATGATATCTTTATCCTTTTCTCCAATTTTATAGCTTTACCAATTGATAATATCTACAACACTTTGGGGAATGTTGGATCAAGCTCCACTCAGCTTTATTCAGACCAAGCCAAACTCAGACCAGAGATTGAAGGACCTGGGACATTCACAATGTTTGCTCCCAGTAATGAAGCCTGGGCTGCTCTTCCAGCTGTAAGCATTTAATGCTATTTTTATAGTTTACTTTATGTTGAAGTCGGTGAAACTATCATTAACACTGTTATGCAAATAAAAGAGGACATAAGTTAGAAATAAGAGTCAGGTATTCAGCCTCTTAAGCCTGCTCTGCCATTCAATAAGATCATAGCTGATCTGATTTTAATCTCAAGTCCACATTCTTGCCTAACTTTTGGCTCCTTGCTTCAAAGAATCTATCCGCCTTAGCCTTAGAAATATTCAAGGACTCTGCTTCCACCACCTTTTCAGGAAGAGAGTTCCATGAGTAATGACATTCTGAGAGAGAAAGAAAAACTCGCCTAATCACCTTAAATGGGTGACCCCTGATTTTTAAATGGTGATCTCCTTGGTCTAGATTCTTTCATAAGATAAAACATTCTCTCCATATCTACCCTGTCACATTGCCTCAGGATCTTGTGTCTCAATCCAATCACTTCTTACGCTTCTAAACTCCAATGGATACAAGCCGAGCCTGTCCAACCTTTCCTTGTAAGACAACCCTTTTCTCCCAAGTATTAGTCTGGTAAACTTTTTCTGACCTGCCTTCAACTCACTTACATCCTTCCTTAAGTAAGGTGACTGATTCTGTGCACAGTGCTCCACTTGTGGTCTCACCAATGCCTGTATAACTGAAGCATAAACTGCTTCCTTTTTGAATCAGTTTCCTTTGCGATATACAATACTTTATTAACCTTCCTTATTACTTTCTGGACCTGCATTCTAACCTCTTGTGATTCATGCACAAGGATATCCAGATCCCTTTATATCTTAGCTCCCTGCAATCTCTCATCATTTGGATAATATGCTTCTTTTTATGCCCTCCTGCTGAAATTAACAATTTCATATTTTCGCAAGTTATACACTATTTGTTGTATCTTTAGCCATGTGCTTAAATTATCTATGTCTTTTTGTAGCTCCTTAAGTGCTCTGCGCAACTTGGTTTGTTACCATCTTTGTGTTATCAGCAAATTTGCCTATAAGCGACTCAGTACCCTATGAACTTCTCATTTTCTGCAATAACTTTTGATGTTGCTCCTTTTTGGAAATCATATTATAATGCACCCCCTTATCCATTGCATGTGTTACCTCCTTAAAGAGCTTGAATAGATCGGTCAATCGTGATATCCCTTTCACAAAACTATGTTAGCACTGTTTGATTACCTTGAACTGATCCAAATGAGCTGTACTACTTTAACAGCTTCTGATATATTCACTTTGTCTGATATTATATGTATATCATTTATAGACCAGGTCTTACAATTAAGAAGCTAACTGTGCTAACATCCAAAATAGATTAAATAAAATTAATATAATGGTTTCCATAATCTCAGGATGTCCCAATGCACGCTTACAACTATTGAAATTCTTGAAACTTTGGTTACTGTTTTAAGTTTTACTGTTTAATGGGATGCAAGCATAATTGGCTAGACTAGCATTTATTGCCCATCCACAGTTGCCCTTCATAGGTTCATGGTGAGCTACTGCCTGGAACTGTTGTAGACCATGGGTGTCAGGACACCCACAGTGCTATCAGAAAGGGAGTTCTAGGATTTTGACCTCGTGGCAGTGAAGGAACAGCAATATAGTTTCAAGTCAGGCAGGTATGACACTTGGAGGGGAACTTGCAGGTGGTAGTGTTCCCATGCACTTGTTCGTTTAGTTGATAGATTTAGTGAGTTGGGAACATGCTGCTGAAGGAATGCAAAAAGCGATGTTGTAATAGTATCCAAACCAAAGTATCTTCAGCTTTCATAGAATTCTATGAATTCTATTATTCTATTCTATCTTTAGCTATCAGCTTTTTCATCAATTACCTTTCTGCTATAATAAGTTTGAAAGTTTGGATATTTGCTGATGATTGTTCCATGTTCAGCACCATTTGACTCCTCAGACACTGAAGTTGCTACAGTTGCAGCAAAACCTGGACAATATTCAGGCTTGCATCGACAAGTGTGAGTATCATTTATGCTACACAAGTGCTAGGCAATAGCCATTCCTAACAAGAGAGAATCTAACCCTTGCCCCCTGATATTCAATGGCATTACCATTTGCTGGACCCCCCACTATCAGCATCTTAGAGGTTACCATTGACCCGAAACTAGACTGGGCTAGCCATATAAATATTGTAGCTATAAGAGCAAGTCAGAGGCTAGGAATCATGCAGCAAATAACTCACTTCCTGACTCCGAAACGCCAGCTCACCATCTGCAAGGCACAAGACAGGAATATGATGATGTAATGCTCCCCAGTTGCCTGGTAGAAACATTTTGAGCAAAAGTCAAGAGGTTTGAAACCATCAAGGACAAAGCAGAGATAGCAAGAACTGCAAATGATGAAATCAGAGACAACACAGGGTGGAGCTGAAGCAGCAGGCCAGGCATCATCAGGGGAGCAAGAAAGTTTTCATTTTGGGTTGGGACCCTTCTTCGGAAATAGGGAGGGGAAGGGAGCTCAGAAATAAATAGAGAGAGGAGGGGTGGGGCTGGGGAAGGTAGGTGGGATGGTGACAGGTGAGTGCAGGCAGGGAGTGGTGGGGATTGGTCAGTGAGGTGGGAGAGCCAGATAGGTGGGAGAGAAGATGGACAGGTGGTGTCAGGTCAAGGAGGTGGGGATGAGAGGGAGGGTTGGACATGGGATGAGGTTGGCGGTGGGGAGATTTTAAAACTGGTGAAAACTACGTTTAGGCCATCGGGCTGTGGGCTTCCGAAGCAGAATATGAGGTGCCTCTCCTCCAGTTTGTGGGTGGTGTCATTGTGACACTGGAGGAGGCCCAGGATGGACTTGTCCTCCAGGGAGTGAGAGGGGGAGTTAAAATGGTTGGCAACCCGAAGGTGTTGTCGTTTGTTGCAAACAGAGTGCAGATGCTCTACAAAACGGTCTCCAAGCCTCCGCTTGATACAACCAATGTAGAGGAGGCCACATCAGGAGCGGTGGATTCAGTAGACTACATTGACGGATGTGCAGGTGAATCCCTGTCTAATGTGGAAGGTTTGTTTTGTGCCTTGAATGGAGGTGAGGGGGGAGGTGTCGGGGCAGGTGGAGTACTTCCTGGTTGCAGGGAAAGGTGCCCGGTGTGGTGGGTTTAGTGGGGAGTGTGGAGCGGACAAGGGAGTCATGGAGAGAGTGGTCCCTATGAAAGGCAAATAGGGGTGGGGAAGAAAATATGTCTTTGGTTGTGGGGTCGGATTGTAGGTGGCGGAAGTGGCAGAGAATGATACATTGGGTGCGGAGGTTGGTGGGGTGGAGAGCACTGCCATTAGAAGTTCCTCTCTAAGCCACTCATCAATCTGACTTGGAAATATATCACTGATTTTGCTGTGTTATTGGGTCAAATTCCTGGAACCCTCTCCTGGACAGCACTGTGGTTCTAGCCACATCACAGAGACCACAGCAGTTCAACAAAGCAGCTCACCACCATCTTCTCAAGTGCAATTAGGAATCAGCAATAAATGCTGGCCCAGCCAGTGACCCCCACATCCCATGAATGAATAAGTTAAAAAGCAGCAGCTGGTTTGGGTATACCAAAATCCCTCAAACAGTGGGAAGAATGAAAAGATAATCTCAACATGAGAGGACCTTGATAAGGCCTTGATTTAACATCAGTGATAATGTACTTTAATAGGACAGTCCTCCCTCAGCAGTGCACTGAAATGGCAATCTCTTGACTGTGCTCCAGTCTCTGGGGTGGGACTTGAACCCAAGTCAAGAATGTCACCATTGAGCCAAGAATGATAAGCTTCTTCCATTATTGGCAGTAACAATGAATGACAAACACTATAAATGAAAAAGTGTAACACAAGTAATAGAAACTACATTCATACGGTATCAAGCTGTATGAGTCAAACATTATTTTCCTTATTTCTAATTTTTTTCCTTTACTTAACCACTCCCAAAGGCATTAGACCATACTAAGATGTTGCCACTCTAGTGTATCACCCAAGAGCTACAATATCATTTGGGTGTCAACCGCCTCAAAATGGGCACAGTTGCCATACTGCCCTGTTAACATCAGTGATGTGGCCATATTCCAATTGGTTTATTGCAGTGGCCTATTTCAGACAATGGACCCTGTTTAACATGGAAATTAAGGGCCTATGAATGTAAATAGGACACCAATTCCTATTTAGTATATGAATTAGTCAAAACCATTTTAAAATATGTATTAAATTAAGTTTGTGGACACAGGGACAGTACTCCTGCTTCAACAAGGTCCACAAAAGAAATTGTGGCCTACTTCTGTTTTCCCGAGAGAGCTGTTTGTCACTTGACAGCTTAAGAGTCAAAATCTAACCAATTTTATCTATTACTTGAATGGTAATGTTGGACAGTTTCAATCTACGAACCCTCCGAGCTGGAGGCCTGATCATTTTTCACAAAATACACTCATGTACTTCACCAACCAGGCATCACCAGGTGGTGGTTACAGTGAAAACGATGAATTATTGTTTCACCACTTAACCCGACGATGGTGAGGCCAAATAAAATGGAACATGTTCCAATATAGTTGAAATGGGATTAAGCCAGCTATTTTGTTTTTTTTTTGGCTCTATTGTCTTTTTATTTGCATAGCTTAAACATTATATCATAATGTATCATAAAGTACCCTATCATAAGGGGTACTTGCCTACATTGATATACGACATGCAAGAGGGAAAATAAGTAATATGTTAGTTGAGCACCTATTGGTGGAATAATGTTAGCAATTTGATCTAATTGCTTTTTCTTTTCTTTAAATATAGGAAGTAGTTGATGCTCTCGTAAGCAATGTCAATATTGAGTTGCTCAATGCCTTACATTACCATATGGTTGACAGACGCATTCTCACAGATGAACTGAAGCACGGTGTGACATTGCCTTCAATGTATCAAGATTTAAATATATTTGTGCATCACTACCCCAATGGCGTAAGAAAAACTTATTCTTTTTAATTACACTGCAAACATATTGGAATGTCTTGTTGACAAATTCCTTTGTATCCCTTAATCTTCATTATTTTAAATAATTTTGAATACCGTGTCAACTATTGTCTCCTTATATTCAATACAGATTGTCACAGTTAACTGTGCTCGGATAATGAAGGCTGACCATCTTGCAACCAATGGTGTTGTGCATGTCATTGACAGAGTCATCACGGCTTTTACAAATACCATTCAGGATACTCTTGAAATTGATGATAACTTTCAGCAGCTTAGAGTATGTATAAAATTATTTACACTTTGAATAATAAAGCAGGATTATTTTGTGAATATATCTTGTATTTAACTGTTGATATTATAGTTTCTAGGATTCTGTTTTTAATACCCTTCATCTGACAGTTCAATTTCACAGCCAATGGTTTTCTCATTCTATTATTTGCTCATAAGAGAAAAACGATATTAATTATGCAACAAAGCATTTCTGTGCTCTTCACAAAAGGAAGTTTATTACAGACAAACTTTATGGACAAGAGAGCCAATGACACAAGTCAATGATCCTCCAGTGGCTTTATAATGTCTTGGGATTTTCAAGGCTTCAATTAATTGTTTCCTTCTGCAATTAGTGCATATTAAGGGTGGTCAGGTGAATGAAGTATCAAAGAGTTATAGATGTCTGCAGCATAGGAGGAGGTCCCTTAGCCTGTCGAGTCTGCACTGGTCAGACACAACCACTGTCATATTCTAATCCCATTTTCTAGCACTTGGCCCATAGCATTGTATGACTTGGCATCGTAAGTGTACACCTAAATACTATGTAAACGTTATGAAACTTTCAGCCTCTGTCACACTGACTAGCAGTGAGTTTCAGATTCCCACCACACTTGGAGTGAAAAAGATTTTACTCACATCCCCTCGAAGCCTCTTGCCCTTTATCTTAAATCTATGTAACAGGTTATTGATCCTTCCATCAAAGGCAAATGTGCCTTCCTAGCTATTCTATCTATGCTTTCCATAATTTTATACATCTCGATAATGTCCTCAGTCAGTCTCCTCTGCTATAAAGAAAACAACTCCAGCTTGTCCAATCTCTCTTCATAACTAAAACTGTCCATCCTAGGAAACATCATGGTAATTCTCCTTTGCACCCTCTCCAATGCAGTTGCATCCCTCCTCTAATGTAGATTTCAGAACTTCACACAATACTGTAGCTGTGGCCTAATCAGTGATGTGTACAGTCCCAGTATAACCTCCCTGATCTTAAATCCTATGCATCAGCTAATTTAAGCAAGTATTCCACTATATCTTAGGGGACCAGTGGACATCAAGGTCCTCTGATCCTCAGTTCTCCAAGGCACTTCTGTTTATCATGTATTCCCTGACCTTGTTTGTCCTGCCCAAGTGCATCACTTCACAGTTATCCAGATTCCATTTGCCACTGATCAGCCCATCTGACCAACCCGTCTGTATCCTCCTGTAATCTAAAGCGATCCTTTCGACTATTTAACACTCCATCAATTTTCATATCATCCACAAACTTACTGGTCAACTCAAAGTTAAATATGTATACTGCAAAGTTTCAGTGGGGGAGCATTTCGGGAGTAGTGACCATGATACTGTGAGTTTTAAGTTACTCATGGATAGGGATAACAGCAGTCCTTGGGTGAAGGTTTTTAATTGGGAGTAGGCAAACTACAACTGCATTAAACAGGAACCGAAGAGTTTTGATTGGAGGTATCTATTTGAGGGTAAATCCACATTGGACATGTGGGAGTATTTCAAATGACAGTTCAAGAGTGGCACATTCCTGCAAAATTGAAGTGAGGCAAGTTATACGAACCTTGGATGACCAGGGATGTTATGATCTTAGTCAAAAACAAAAATGAAGCATACGTAAGGTCTAGGAGGATGGGGACTGACAAAACCCTTGAAGGATATAAAGAAAATAGGAAAGAACTTAAGCGAGGAATTAGAAGGGCTAAAAGGGGCCATGAAAAGTTGTTAGCAAACAGGATTAAGGAGAATCTTTTAATACATATATAGCTAGGGAAAGGGTTAGCCCACTCAAGGACAAAGGAGTGAATGTATGTGTGGAGCCAGAAGAGGTGGGTGAGATCTTAAATAATTACTTTGCATCGGTATTCACCAAAGAGAAGGAATTGGTAGAGGCTGATCTCAGGGAAGGGAGTGTCGAATTTCTAAGTCAAGTTGCTGTTAACATGGAAGAGGTGTTGTGTGTCTTAAAAAGTATTAAGGTAGATAAGTCCCCTGGTCCTGATGGGATCTATCCCAGAATATTGAGGGAGGCAAGAGAACAAATTGCTTGAGCATTCACAGACATCTTTGTATCCTACTTGGCCACAGGTGAGGCCCCAGAGGACTGGGGAATAGCCAATGTTGTCCCATTGTTTAAGAAGGGTAACAGAGATAATCCAGGAAATTACAGGCCTGTGAGCCTCGTGTCAGTGGTGGGGAAATTATTGGAAAACATTCTCAGGGGCAAGATCTATAAGCATTTAAAAACAAATGCACAGATTAGCGATAAATAGCATGGTTTTGTGCCTCACTAACTTGATAGAGTCTTTTGGGGAGGTGACAAAGATGACTGATAGGGGAAAAGCAGTTATGTCGTCTACATGGACTTCAGTAAAGCTTTTGACAAGGTCCCTCATGTCAGACTGGTATAAAAGGTGAAGTCAAATGCTATTGGTGTGAGCTAACAAGATGGATACAGAACTGGCTGAGTCATAGGAGACAAAGGGTTGCGGTTGAAGGATGCTTTTTGGAATGGAGGGCTATGACCAGTGATATTCCACAGGGATCAGTACAGGGACCTCTGCTGTTCGTGATCTACATAAATGATTTGATGAAAACCTAGCTGATCTAATTAGTAAGTTTGCAGACAATACAAAGATTGGTTGAGTTACGGATTGTGAGGAGGATTGTCAGACAGTACAGCAGGATATAAAATAGTTGGAGGCATAGGCAGAAAAACGGTTTTTGAAGTTTAATCCGGAAAAATGTGAGATGATGCATTTTGGAAGGTCAAGTGCAGTTGGAAATTATACAGAGAATGGCAGAATCCTTAGGAGTATTGATATGCCCAGGGATCTGGGTGTGCAGGCCCACAGATCACTGAAGGTGGCAGCGCAGGTAGATAAGGTAGTGAAAAAAGCCTATGGCATGCTTGCCTTCATTGGAAGAGGCATTGAGTATAAGGATAGACATGTTATGCTGCAGCTTTATAGAACTTTAGTTAGGCCACACTTGAAATATTGCCTATAGTTCTGGTCACCACACTCCTAGAAGGATGTGCATGCTTTGGAGAGGGTACAGTAAAGGTTTCCCAAGATGTTGCCTGGTATGGGGGATTTTAGCTATGTAGAAAGGCTGGATAGACTGGGTTTGTTTTCACTGGAACACAGGAGGTTGAGGGGTGACCTGATAGAAGTTCATAAGATTGTGAATGGCATGGATAGAGTAGAAAGTATGAGGCCTTCTCCCAGGGTGGAGGGGTCAATTACTAGGGGACAGAGGTTCAAAATGGGAGAGGGTGGGTTTAAAAGAGATGTGCGAGGCACGTTTTTCACACAAAGGGTGGTAAGTGCCTGGAACGTGTTGCCAGAGGAGGTGATGGAAGCAGACACAATAGCAACATTCAAGAAGCACCTGGATGAATATATGAATAGAAAAGGAATAGAGGGATACGGATCCTGAAGACAGTTTTAGTATGGAAAGGCAAAATGTGTCAGCATGTGTTTGGAGGGCTGAAGGGCTTGTTCCTGTGTTGTATTGTTCTTTGCTTTTTGTTCTTTGTTCTAAATAGCAACGACCTCAACATTGATCCTAATAGAATCCCACTAACTTTTAGTCACAAAAGCACCATTTAAGTATTACCCTCTGCTTCCTGATACTCAGCCAATTCTAGATCCACTTAGTCACATTTCTTTGGATCTTACCTTTGCTATCAATCTCACATGCAGGACCTTATCAAAAGCTTTGCTGAAATCCAAGTAGACTATGTCAAGTGCACTACCCTCATCTACACACGTGGTCAACTCTTGAAAAAAATCAGTCAAGTTGGTCAGCATGAACTCCCCTTAACAAAACCGTGCTGACTGTTCTTGACTAACCTCTGCCTCTCCAAGTGCAGATTAATTCCATCTCTCAGAATTGCTTCCAATAGTTTCCCACCACTGAGGTTGGATTACTGACCTGTGGTTTCCTGGTTTATCCCTTGCTCCCTTCTTGAATAACGGTACTACATTGGCTGTTCTCCAGTCTTCCAGCATACCTCTTTTGGCTACAGAACAGTTGAAAGTTATTAGAATGGGGATTTTCCACGTTATCTTCCCCATTTGGTTTTATTGATACAGATGCAAGAGTGCCTGGAAGAAGCAACGAGTAGCACTAACACTTGGTGTCTTCAGTTCGGACTATGTGTTGGTGACCGACAGTAAAAGGCCTAAAATGAAAGCAACCTTGCATATTTCAGAAATTTGTTTAATTCTGCAGACTAAGATGAAAGCATACCTGTAAATTTGATAAATTCAGATCAGATTATGCTCACAGGATGTTCCTCACTGATGCTCAGAAAAGCTGAACAGCACAGGAAAAGGCCTGACGTCAACTTGATTGTTGATAGGTGAAGTAATTATGTTTGGAACAATTAAAATGTAGACTAGGTCCCAGCTACAGTAACATTCTTTATCTTGGATTAACGAGATTGACCTAGTTTCCATTTCAAACTAATTGGCTTGAAATCATTCTAGAAGGAATATTTTAATCATTAATTTATAATTTCATAGCATGTCAATATTTTCCCTGATTGTCTGATTAGCTCAATTGGCTAAATGACTGGTTTGTACCTTATGACAACTCCAAAAGGCAGGCTCAATTCTGCCCCACACCTGCTCCTCCCCACAATTGAGGTAGACTTTGGGATCTGCCTCCTCACCCTGCCCTTGAATGTGTAGTGCAAAGGCAAACTGTTGCAGACGAAAAAGAAAACAGGATGGGCCATCAAAACCTAGTGAGCCAAAGACCCGATGAGGCAAATCACACCTAAATGAACACTTTCCTTATCAGAGTAAATGCATTGCAATTGGATATATCTGTGCAATGTTTATGTATTGATACCAGACAACTTGAATCAAATAATTGCCTGGTTTCACTTTGTGATTTAAACCAGATTCCTTGCATTTTGAATTTGACTGAATTTCCAGTCATCAGCGATGTCAGAGATTTTTCCTGGCTTTGAGTCTCTTTGCCTCAGTCAGTGTAATCCTGATCAACTGGAGACTTCCAATTTCAAAATCCCTTTTGGAATCTGAGCTGTAACTAGTTTGATATGACAGGCACCATGCTGTTTCTAATTTTATCCACCTTCTGTGTTCAGATTAGTTGCAAAAAGCAACCTCAATTCCCATCTACAATTTTCCAAACAAATCAAAACCATTAAAAAGAAAGTGACTATTCGAAGATTTTTAAGTGTCATCCCAATGGGTAGATGAAGTATAATTGTAAGTTCATGCAACAGTTAGCTTTCCAATGTGCTTTTTTTCTATATACTATATACTATGAAATATCATAAACCTAATCCCACAATTAAGTGTTTCTGATGGGAGTGTTGAGTGCTTATTTATTTATTGAAAAGTCCTTCCCAGGAGAGTTACTCTTGCGATTTTCTAACATGTTTCCAGTGGACAATAGTATTTCACACCATCAAAAAAACAGTTTATATGAATTCAGATGAAATATATTAAGGTGATAACAGTTATTGAATTTTAAAATAGCAGATTATTTTGCTGAGTAACGAAGTTTCAGACATACATTTTGTGTACTGTGTGTTGTAGGCTGCGGTAGCTGCTGCAGGGCTTGAGGAAATGCTTAGCCAAGAAGGAGAGTACACACTCTTTGCTCCCACTGATGAAGCATTCAGAAAGATACCACCTGCAACTCTGAACAGAATCTTAGGAGATCCAGAGGCTCTGAAATGTAAGATTGAACTTAACAAAGCAATTTTGCTGTTAATGTAAGTCCAAAGGGCACCTATTATTCTGCTTACAAAATATCCTCATGTGATATTCATGGACAAAATGGACCATTTGGCTCAGTGCTCAAAACAAGCCTCTTCTCAACCTTCTTTATCAACCCCTATCAGCATATTCCTTTAGTCTTTCCTCCCACTTTTATTTGTTCCGGTTTGAAGTTAAACACATCCATGCTTTTCACCTCAATCACTCCTCGTGGCAGCCAGTCCCTCGTTCTAAATGCTGTGGAAAAAATTCTATTAGATTCATTATTATGTTTTATTAATGGTTCAAATGGATTTTACATTGAACTTTGGTTAGACCATACTTACAGTACTGTGTGTAATTTTGGTTACCTTAATATGGAAAAAAACTTTCGAGGAACTGGTGATGGGGCAGAAAAGATTAAAAGATATGGAAGCAATGTTTTGATTTACATATCAAGCAAGGAATAACAGGCTGATCCACTTATCTCTTGTGGCGCAGTGGTAGTGTCCCTATCTCTGGCCCAGGTTTGAGCCTCACTTGCTCCAGAGGTGTGTCACAATATCTGTTAACAGATTGATTAGGAAATATCTAGGAGGGAATAGAGGTTACAGTATTAGACTTGGATGTTGAGGCTCAAGTTGAGTATAAATACCATCATGTACAATTAATGGATCTCAGACAGTTAGCACATCAGGAATCAAGATATGAAGATCTTCCTTAATGGCTACGTTATTCTCAAGCATTCAGTCTTACAAAACTACTGGCCCTAGTATCCCAGCTGTCTCCTTTTAATACTCTTTTTAGGACTGACAAATCAAACCAAATTAAAGGAAATTAACAAGTGACAGCCCTTTAAAGGGTACTGTAACAAAAAAATGTTTAAATGAAATTTATATTCAAGTTAAGATTTTGTTTTGGTGAGGAAATAACACAGTCCAGCCCTTGACATGGCTACTGGTCACATAATGAGCAGACTGTATGCTCCCGCTCCAGAAATACCTAGACAGAGATATAACCATGGAAGATAGGGAGGTAATTAGGTCCAACAACTCTCTTCACAGTTCTCCCATCTGAACCTCATAATTGCACCTTTGTCAGACCCACAAGGAAGCCTTCTGACTTGCACGCACCGTTCTGTACTGACTGGTCAATTAATCAGGAGCTTGGCGCTTACGTAACAACAAAACTTAAGTAACAGCCCACTCAAAAACAGAAACAGGGGCTGTTACTTAAATTTTGTTTTTATTCTAGCAAACCATTGGCTTATCAAGGCTGTACAAAATACACGTGGCCCGGGTGTCATGAACCATTTCAGTCTATTATTGTGCAGGACAGTTGTGTACAAAGGCCTCCCTGCCAAAGGCCTGATAGAAAAGGGGAGGACTCCACAGTAGCAAACCCTTGTCCCCTTTTAAACAAATTTAAATCAAATCAATTAAAACAAATGAAATTAAAACATGAATACCCCTTAAAGAGATACACGAATGAAACTAAATGTTCAAAGCGAATTAAATTTTAAATGAAAATGTTATTGTGGGCAGAGAGAGTGTATTCCAACTCTCATGATGTCCACTAGTTGCAGAAGGCCTCATCCATATATGGACACTGCGTGCTTCCTGTCCAAGGATCCCTGAGCATGGATGGAACCATGAAAAAGAGGCAGACAGTCAGGTCTAATGACTCCCTTCATGGCCTGCTGTCTGAATCTGTTAATAACCGCCTTAATAAGATCCAGGATCAGACCCACAAGGAGCTCCTCTGACTTGGTCGGCTACCAGCTGGGAAGAGATCAGGATCATGGAACTGAAGTAAAGACAAAACTTACATGGCTGTCCATTTAAAAAAAAGAGACTCCGTTTTAGTGCACATGGAAAATACAGGTGAACTGGGTGTCCATGAGCCATCTTAGTGTCCTATTACGTGGGACTGTTGAATTCAATATACTTCATAACAATAGTAAAGGGGAAGACTCCCACATCAAGAGACTTTGTCACCTAGATATTTTCTAATCAATCTGTCAAGAGATTTTATTGCTCTCCTCTGGAGCAGGTGGGACTATATTGTTTGTTTTCAAGATACAGTCCTCACATTTATTATCCATCTCTAGTTTCCTGAAGTAAATGGTTGTAGATATTTTGAATCAACCTGTTCAGTGATTGTCATGACACAGCTCTGGAACAGATGGTATTTGAATATAGGCCTCCTGGCTCAGACGAAGGGACACTACCACTGTGCCACAAGATCCCTGCACAGGTAACATTATTTATAATCAATTAACACCTGTTTGCCCTTCACCTTAACCATGTGATTGACAATGACAAGTTGTGTTAAATAGCTTCCACAGTTCCAGTTAGACTGCAAGTGAATACATCTTCTGTATGCGAACCCTAACAAATTGAGTCATACTCTCATGGATTTCTATTCGGTTCGCTCTAAGAATTCTCCTTCTCTAGAGAAAAGAGTCCAAGCATACTCAATCATTCCTGACAAGTTTATCCCCTCAGTTTGATGCCACTGTCGAAACTCTTATTTGTCCCTTCATTAGTCCCCCTTGAATTTCTTTTTTATAATAGACCAGAACAATTCACAATGCTCCAAAATACTCATGCATGTTTTACATAATTTTTCTGTCTTTTTAAAAATTCTGTATTTGTAAAAATGAAACAAAATAATTTATTTTATTGGTATTTTTAATCTGCATCATTACTGTTAGTAAATTGTTCATTTGTCCTCCAATGTCCTTTGTTCTTGTGTCTATTTTAGGCATTTATTTTTCAAGGGTGTGTACCCTTTTTACTTCTCATGCTGAAATCTGCCACCTTGCACATACATATATTGCAGTTCATTTGTCAATTATTTTACTGAAGTCTTCCTCTGTACTAACATCGTCAAACCAGTCTGATGACATCAGCAAATTTTGAAAATGTAATACAATCTCTGAATTTAAATCAGTTTTGTGAATGTTGTTAGGTATGTTGTCGAACACCATTTCCCATCTTTGGTTTGTCTGAGTAATTATTATTGTACCCTACTCTCTCTCTTTTCTATATTAAACTCAGCTTAATACTTATTCTGTTATGCATCTCCTAATATCACATTCTCTAACTTTGGTCATGCGACCACTGCCTTGCCCATGTATACATTCTGCATGTGCGTGTTTGAACACTGAATGTTGGCAATCTATTCAATCAAGAAAAGGCATCATAATCAAACTCAATCTCATTTTAATTCACATTATTACCTACAGGGACCGTTGTAATCAGTAGTATAGCAATCCTTCAGTACTATATTGAAGCCTAAATTATGTATTCAAATCCTGGAATGGAGCTTGAATCAACAACCTCTGACTCAGGGACAAGATTCCTGCCAAAAGGTTCCACTGTATATTTATTTTACTGAATTGTGTGCATGTGTTTTATGTATATATATATGTCTATAAGGAATATCTGAGAATAAAGCATTTTTAAAATTTAGCTACAAATGAGTGAAAAGTTGTCACTGCATTATTTCCACAGCTCTACTCAATTACCACATTCTGAAAAAAGTACAGTGTGCGGAAGCCATCATCTCAGGTGTACCTATGGAAACCATGGAAGGCTCAACACTGGAGATCGGCTGTAATGGTGACGGTCTGACAATCAATGGTAACACCATTATTACCGACAAGGATATACTAGCAACAAATGGGGTCATCCATATGGTTAATGAGCTACTGATCCCTGATTCTGGTAAGCAGCAGTCCATTGTTTATGGTTGTGTCTCATGAACATTCAATACTGAAGGAATTTGCTGTAAGAATAAATGTAAGAGTCAATGTAACATATGTAAACACAGTTATTCATAAGGAGGTCAGTTCGCTCAGTTGACTGAATGTCCAGTTTGCTATGCAGGGTGATGACAACAGTGTGGGTTTAATTCTCGTACTGACTGAGGTTACCATGAAGGACCCTCCTTTTCAATCTCTACCCTCGTCTGAGGCACATGACCCCCAGGCCAAACCACCTTTAGCCTTGATTTCTTTGAATGACTTAAAAACTTGATCAGCTACTTTGCTCTTAATCTTGTGGTTTTATGGTATTCCCTGATGGAAATACAATCTCCCACTGTTTCTGTCACAACCAATGTTATTTTGCCCAGCGATCAAAGAACAAAACTACAATAAAGTGTGTCATCAGTCCGTGAGAATTTCAGAGAATCCCTACAGTGTGGAAGCAGGCCATTCAACCCATCAAGTCCACACCAACCCTCCAAAGACCATCCCACCTAGACTCACCCACCCTACCCCATTTCTGTGGCCCAACTAATTTTCTGGACAATGGTAATTCCGGAATATCATGATGGGGCATTCAACAAAAGGAGATGGTTATATCCTCTCATGTAATAGATGGTCACTGGCTGACACTTCTATGGTGTGAATAACAGCTCAAGCCTAAATGTTGTGCAGCAAGAACTGCACTAATAATTAATCCTCTCACAATTATGACAATTAGTAGCAGCTTTCTGCCTCTGAGAATGCGTTCAGTATCACAGCTATCTCAAAATCCAGCAAGATCTAAACACACCAACATCATACAGTTCTCAAAAAGACTAAACTAGGTTGCTGAAGCTGAACCCAGGTCTCCAGAGATCGAATTTAAAGACTTTAATAAAATTTTCTCTGTCAAGGCATGAAAAATCTTTTGGATCAGTGAGGAAAAGATACAGGAAATGCAGGTGGGATTTTTGTCACAAGATTTGCAATGATATACTTAAAGGCAATTGATCTTTTTTTAGTCATGTGTTGTAAATATGAAGTAAGCATTAGTGATTTTAGAACATAGAATGCACAGCATTACCAGCTAGTCTGGCTGAAAACATACACATCAGCAAGACATATTTACAGGATTTTCCAACATGAATAGGGAATTAACTGCATATGTTAATCAAACATTAGATAGTTGGAATGGAATTATGATGATGTGGAATGTGTCTCACTGACTTTAAGCTCTACCTCTATATACTGATTGTGATTGAAACTAACACTGTGGACAACATCCCTTCATATTACAACTTTGAATATTTAGGCATGTATGATTTTAAGAAAGTCACTTAAATATCCACAAATTTGAGGTCTGAAGATCATCTCAGTATCAGGTATGAGAACAAGGCTGTGAACAGAAACCTGAAAGAACTGCAGATGAAGGAAATCAGAAACAAACACAGAAATTGCTAGAAAAACTCAGCAGGTGTGGCAGCATCTGTGGAGATAAAGCAGAGTTAACGTTTCGGCTCCAGTGACCCTTAGTTCTGAAGAAGGTTGTGAACAGATTGCCTTAATCTCAGTTTGTTGCCAGATAATGTGATGGAGTTGGTGGTTAGAGAATAGAATTTTGAGCTAGGGTTTAGAGCAATGGCTTCAATTTTCACAACGTTTAATGGGAGGAATTATTTGCCCAAGTAGCACAAGATGTTGGATAAGCAGTGGGATAATTTAGCAAAAGTGGAGGAGTCAAAAGGGGTTGTGGGTGGGTTAGAGTTTGCCATATATTTTTGTGTTATGACTTTTGTACAGAGTTCACAAACTCTTTTATCTTTTGTTACTTTTGAACAACTTCCTCCCTTGCACTCATTTATTTTCTGATCTCTGACCCCTGAATAGCTTTCAGATGCTCACTTGTCCACTCAATATTAACTTTTCATTTAAATTGCCTCTTTTCTGTAGTGTGTAAAGCTTGTCTGCAATTATCAACAAGGCCAGTTTGATGCCCAGATAATATGTTTTCTTTCAGTTATTTTACTTACATCAGATACTGTGCAAGTTCTTTTAAGACTTAATTGTTATGCTATTAATTTCAGTTCTTTCACTGCCTCATAATCAGAAGTAAAGCATAATTTTTGATTTAGGTATTTATACAGCTTTAATTCTGATTAAAGCTCTAACTCAGTAAATGAACACACAATGACTATATGCAACATCTGTATTGTGTTACAATCCATTGGGGTAGCATGCCATCAATCAAGACCTGCAATTCCTGGAGTGAAGCCAAAAGTTAGTTTTGTTTGAGAGCCCCGCAGTACACAAATTTACCTGACCTTCAGGCCAAGATTGATAGAAGGCATAGACCTTCAGGTTTCTGTCCTAAAAAATAATTATTATTTATTTTAAATAATTAAACTATAGCCAAACCCAATAGGTATCAAACTCCTTGCTGTGAAATTATGCAGCTATCTCGTAAATCCCAGTTTGCAAAAACAGTTCATTCTTCTTGCAAGTAAGCAGTTCTTAAAAACAGAAAAATAAAAGACATGATTCTTACACCTGTGTGTCTTAAGTAATTGATACATCTGCATTATGTTGACAAATGGAGGTAAAATGCAAACTGGTAAAAATATTCTTTTTAATTTAGACAAAATCTTTCCATATTTAAACACGCAACCCTAAAAGAATCTTATTGACTTGCTACTCCATTTATTCTAACAGACTTAACTATTTTGACTGTTTTACAGCCAAAACCCTCCTAGAATTGACTAACAAGCCTGGTGTTACCAAGATTGGTGACCTCTTCAGACAAGCCGGTCTAACCTCCCATTTAGAAGGAAGAGAACCTTTAACACTACTCGCTCCTCAGGATATAGCATTTACAGGTAAAATGAATCTGTACATTGTCAATTTATTTTTAAATTGTAAACAATGTCATTGTCTTTATGTTCATTCAGCCAAGCATAGTTGTCAAAGAAACAAGACAAAATGTTAGATAGCAAGGTGTAGAGCCGGATAAACAAAGCAGGCCAGGCAGCATCAGAGGAGAAGGAAAGCTGACATTTCAGGCCTGGACCTGAAGAAGGGTCCAGACCCGAAATGTC